CACACACACACACACACACACACACACACACACACACACACACACACACACACACACACACACACACACACACATATATATATATATGTATGTCAGTGTAAATTACTTGTACCTGATGATAACAAAACCTTGTCGAAACGTTGTACATTTGCTGTTATGTTAAACTTGTATTAAAGTTTTTCTTCGTTACCCATTCAAGCCGTCTCCAACCATTATTAACTACATTAATGTATTATATATCGTATCTTTATTATTTAAACACCAGCTGATCAAAACAAACTAACTACATTAATGTATTTTATATTGTATCTTTATTATTTAGACAACAACAGCTGATCAAAACAAACTAACTACATTAATGTATTTTATATCGCATCTTTATTATTTAAACACCAGCTGATCAAAACAAATTAACTACATTAATGTATTTTATATTGTCTCTATTATTTAGACAACAGCTGATTGAAACTAACTACATTAATGTATTTTATATTGTATATTTATTATTTAAACAACAGCTGATCAAAACAGACTAACTACATTAATGTATTTTATATTGTCAGCCAAGTATACTTTGTATCTGTCCTTTATGTCCATGAGCTTAAAAGTTGCCCACACTTGTCCCCACAACTTTGTATAATCTCCTGTCACACCACAGAGCTTCTGTATAGCTTCTGGTACTCCTTTGTGATCCAGCACCTTGATACTCACAAGGGTTTGCTGAGATGCAGGATCTATGACAAAGTTGCACTTTTGGCCATCCAGCTTTCCTGTCACGTAGATACTGTGTGGGCTTGGCACTTTACACCTAGCTGTTGGGACTTTCACTACGGGGATTGGTGGGCGTCCCTCAGCACCAACCACTAGTGGTTTCCCGAAGTTGACTTATTGGTATTATTCTTCTTACACTGGCTCCTCATATGTTATTGCTCTCCACAGTTCCAACAATCTTTCTGGGTAGCAGCCTTTCCTGCTGTGACATCTTCCCCGTGTTGAAGTTGTTGGCATTGAGATCTCTTATGC